ATGTTTTTGTGTCGTTGCTCCGGCCGGACACGGCATCAACAGTATGTGTGGGGCGTAACATTTCCGTCTCACGCTTGAGGTATTCGGCCAATCATAACGCACTGGATAGCTGGCCAATCAGAGCATACCTCGCTTTTCAGACCAATGAGGTTTGTAAAAATCGACGCGTTTCAGAAAGGCGGGGCATAGAGGAGAAACAATAATGTACACTATGTGGAAAATAATGTGTTTTTTTTACTTTAAACAGCATAAACACATTTCATTACACCAAATACACAAAATAATGTTCTTTTTAGCAGCATCATATGACCCCTTTAAAGTAAAATAGCCTACTGTATAGCAAATTTCAGTAACTTGTGACTTGACTATTGTTAAATCACATTAAAATTTATTTTGTGACATTCTGTACAAAATGTGTTGTATAAATGAAAAACTAGAATAAATCTAGTTTTGTTCCGTGTCAAAACGCAATTTTCAACGCTAAACTAGTCGGCGCCACAGTGCCAGGGCATTGCTAAGGTTTTCTCAGAGACTTTTAGCATGTTGCTATGCAGTTGCTAAGGTGTGTTGGTGGGTTACTGGCCCAAGCGCCAAAAAAACAAACAAACCGCTAACCCCAAGTTTGGAGATGTAGCTCAGGTTCTTACTTCAGCGTCTATGGGATTTTCTCAACATTTTATGTGTGGAAGTAACGCTCAATCATCACGTCTGTAGCACGGTACCGAGTGAGTTTAGACGTCGACGTTTTAAGAGGTTTCTTCAGTGTGTGTGTGTGTGTGAAACAGTCATACGCCAACAACTAGTTCTCCCCGAGGCGCATGCAAGGTGCAAGGGGTTTGTTACAGTCCTACATATTGTTAATTTGCTTTTGTGTATTAACAACAAGTGCGTGGGGAGGTTATCGTTGGTTTGTTTACGTTACTTCGCATCAGTACCGTATTTTTATGAATGAAGTACGCAATTTCATTAGCTGGGTTTTCAATGGCACGTGTGAAACGCAAATTATTTTGATAACTCACCATCTCCTGACTTCAGATAAAAATGCTCGCCTGACGTTAATTCACCTGACATTTATGAACAATTATGGATGATTGTGTGAACCGATTTATCATACCGTGCATCTTTGGTGCATTCATTCACAAGACAATTATGCAACTGTTCTATTGACGTTTATGATATATTTGAACGTGCTTGTCTGTTAAATATGTGTAGGCCTATATTTACATTGCATTTTTTATATCCTGCTCTATTTACTTTATTTTTTGTTTTTATCAATTTTTTTTCTTTGTGAAAAGTACAAAGGCTTTATTATTATTATTTTAATTTTAATTTATTATTAATTTTAGTTTTAGCATTAAATACCAATAAAAAATACAACTAAGTCACAAAAATGAAAACAATTTAATCCAATTATAATTTAATTTAATTATGAATGACTCCATCCTTACCTTGATTCCAAGAGATCCCAAAGTTCAGTCCCACCTTGACACCCTTTGCAGTGAGCATTCAGAAATCAAGTTTCTTCAGCAAAGTGGGTTTTGGGTATCACACACTTGTGTTTCCTATAGTACTTTACAGCTTTGCAATAACCATATGTTCAGTGTTTTGAATGAGGTTTTGTATGAACGCTGCATGCCGTCTCTGCAGACTTTGACCTTTTTTTGCAGTGGCCACAATATCTTGGTAAAGAAAAAAGACACTAGGAAATTGCTGTTGTAAGATAGGACACCTCTTGGCTGAAGTTCAGCGCAGTGGCCTTTGATCACTGATACGAAACATCAAGAGAATTGATACATGTTTTGCTCTGCATTCACATAGTAAAGGAGCAAAGTGTTCTGTAACGGAATGCAAACCATACAAAAACATATTTATTTTTATTGCTGAACCCACCAATGCACACATGCATTGCATGCATGTCACAGAAACATGAGGTGTATACCATAGGATGAAGCTTTATAATGCCTTTAATTGTCTGTGGCAATCAGTAACCTCTTTATGACAAGCAGAACCTTCTGACTGAAGCTATAGCAACAGAACAAAACTTATATATGCGCTATATGTTCTATATGCAGTACAAACCAGCTGCAGTGCTATAATTGGATTCTTCTCACCACATTTGTTTTTCTTTATCTTCTCTCATTATGCAGTGAGAATGGATCAGCTGGATTTTGTTTTTGAGGTAGTGAATGTGCGGTTTAATCAGCTTGGTGAGTATCAGCTGGTTTTGACCGTAGAGAATCCTCTACTAGAAGATTCTGCTTCCAGGGTCTGAGACTTGAAGATGGAGATGTTTTGGAGGAAAGTTCAGTCTGTACTGATACCATCACACAGGCCAGTTTGGATGAGGTTTATTCTTTCTTACGCAACAAGTTTGTCTTCACTTTACTCATTGGTAGGCCAGTTTTGGAGCCCCAATAGTCTTTCACATTTATGGGTCAATGACATTATGCTGTTTTTGTTTTGCTAATCTATTATTTTGTTCACAAATACATTAAAAATGACATTTGTACATATGAATTAAATGCACATCTATGTTTTTAATTTCTGAATTAAAATTCATTTTAATATTTTTTTCTTGTGCAAAAAGTAAAAAAAAATGTCAGGGTGGTACAACTGTGCTAATATTCTAATGAAGAAAAAAAAACTCATTAAAAAAAAAAACATTTTTGAAAAGAAAATCATGAGTAGTAGTTTGCTATATGCTTTTATTTATTGGGAAAAAAATTTTTTGATACACTTTTGTCCACCAAATCAAAGTCATGTGGTTCAACCAACATGCAGATACATGCAAAAAAAAGAAGAAAAAAAAAAGAACAGGAACCCTGATAGACCTTATAATGACAAGGCAAGGTTAGTTCAGGTTGTAAAATGTCATGTGGTGCAACTCTCAGAAAATGTAATTATATTTATGAATTAATAATGTGACTATTTTTAAGAAAAATTTAAAAAATATTGTGATTGTGATCAAGATGTGCACACTCACATGCATTCATAGTCAAAGGAAACAGTTATTACTTTTTACTTGATGGTTGCACCGCATGACATTTTTGCGTCATTAAATATAAAATTCTTAAAATGTGTTTTTTTAAAACCATCTGAAACCAGCATTAATACAAAGTGTACACCTCAAAGAACTTGGCATGTGAGTTTACATGTCATTGATACTTGTATTCATTACATTTTACAGGTTTCTGCAAGAACGACAAAAATCATGACATTCGTCTCAAAGATGAAGCCATCTGTGTGTCAGACTCAAGCATGAAACCAGGTGAAGGGTTCTTCGCCGTCTACCCATGAACCAACGCTCTTCGCATGAACCTCTTCACAGGGCTGGATGAGGAGCTCTGCTGCTACAGTGGCATCATGACCCTGCTTCAGGTCCAGAATGTCTACTTGGCCATGCACTGCAGACGCATGTTTACTCTGTGGCCTTCCATCAGGCCAGGAAAGGCTTTGGGACTGTGACCATCCTGGAGCCGAGGAATCTTCTAATGAAGAAATTGTAAAGTCCTGCAACAGATGGTAAGACTATTTTTCTTAGAAATTAATACTTTAAAGGGGTCATATGATGCTGCTAAAAAGAACATTATTTTGTGTATTTGGTGTAATGAAATGTGCTTATGTGGTTTAAGGTTCAAAAAACACATTATTTTCCACATACTGTACATTATTGTTTCTCCTCTATGCCCCGCCTTTCTGAAACGCGTCGATTTTTACAAAGCTCATCGGCCTGAAAAAGCGAGGTGTGCTTCTTCTTTATGCACCAAGAGCTTGTAACACTTCAAAGAGAAAGGAAAAATTGAAATCGCATCATATGACACCTTTAATTCAGTGAGGACACATTAAATTGATCAAAATGGACAGCAAAGACTTTTATAGTGTTACTAAAGATTTCAAATGAATTCTGTTCTTTTTAACTTTGTATTCATCAAAGAATCCTGAAAAAAATGTATCATGGTTATTATTGTCAATATCAAAAGCAGCACTGTTTTCAGTATTGATGAGCAGCAAACCAGGATATCAGAATGATTTCTGAAGGATTGTGTGACACTGAAGACTGGAGTAATGATGCTGAAAATTCAGCTTTGCATCACAGGAATAAATTAAATTTTACAATATATTACAATAAAAATTAGTTCTTTTAAATTATAATAATATTTCACAATTTTACTGTATTTTTAAACAAATAAATGCAGCCTTGGTGAGCATAAAAGTTTTCTTTCAAAAACATTCAAAAATCTTGGTGACATATCAAGGATTCTATAAATACAATATACAAAGTAATATAGCATTTTATAATATGGTATTTTTATGCCTTTTAAGGACAATGTGGACCTGGTTAATCCAGATTCAGACTGTATGGGCAGTGTGAACGCAGATAATCCAGATCAAGACCTTGACGTTAAATCGCACACTTATAATGACAGTCCTTGTCTTTCTTCTTGAGATGAAATTGTTTTGCCTACAGAACAAACCAGGATCATTCCTGACCCTTTTTGAGTGTCAAATTGATCTTTCTAATAGAGGACACACCAACACCTAGTCCAGAGCCCCTTTTACACAAATCATTCTCTGTCCTCTTCCATATGTAACTTAACAACATCTATTTTCTGAAAGTACCCATCTGTGTGACATTGAATGTTTGTGGAGTCTGACAGAAGAAAGCAATCAGAGTCTCCAAAGCAGATTCACCCTCATTGGCCTCAACATTACGTTCTGACACCCTGAAACCTCTAGGGTTGTGCGCCTAATTTCTGAGGTCGTCTCGCCGCTTGCTCCTTCTATTACTCAGAGGCAGTTGTAATCAATGGACCTTGCAACACTCAATTAGGGCTTAATTGGATTGGTGTGTGTTCCTGGTGAAACTGTCAGTCCCCTGTTCAATTGAGGAGACAGAGCTGATTATTACTGTTGACAAGTGTAAGACACAGAGCTGGACGCAGCTGCTGCTTGTGTCAGGATAAACACCGCTTACACACACATTCGTTGTACAAGCGCTCTCTCATATCTATAAGTTTAGCAGTTATGTAACATAATTTTTTACTTTTATTTATTTGAAGGTTTCATTTTTTTATGTAGTACTTTCCTAAATAAGCTTCATAACAGATATTCTACATAACAATTTTAGTGTAAATAAAATTTGTGTGATTATTTTAGATTTTTAATTAACTCTAAAAACTGCATGTATAATATAAGCCCACCCATTATTTTTGTTTTTAGAGAATATATAATATAATATAATAGAATAGAATAGAATAGAATTGTGTGTAGTGTTTTATGAAGCTAGATGTCATATATATATGGAGAGAATAGCAAATTATATTATTTTTTTATAAATATAATATAATATAATATAATATAATTACACTATAATACTTTATGATTTTATATATTATGGATGTCAATATATACAAAAATAATTACAGTACTAGAAATTAAGTTATTTGTAGATGCATTTTAGATGCATATAAATATAATATAATATACAGTATATTTACATGCAATGTTTTATGATGTTATATAAAAATGGATGTCAATTTTAGAAATTATATCAATTTTATATGTATTATAGAGCCTATAGAATATTTATATGTAATATTTTATGATTTTACATAAAGCTTGACGCATATATACAAAAAGAATTTATAAAATAAATTATATATTTTTATGTTTTGTAGTACATATAATATAATATAATATAATATAATATTTTATGCTGTTATTTAAAGCTGGATGTCTACATCTATTACAAGAATTGCAATATTAGAAATTATATAATTTTTATATGTATTTTAGAGCCTACAATATCATATAATATAATATGATATATTTATATGTAATATTTTATGTTATATAATATTTGATGTGAATATATATGCAAAAAAGAATTGCAAGATTAGAAATGATATTATTTTTTATATATTTTAGATCCTATAACATTATTATTATTTAAAAAATGTAATTATAAAAGATTAGTGTATTTTATCATTAAGTTAATTCCTTTAAAAGCAGTAGGTTTGTTACTTATTGTTTGAATATATGAATGAAAAATGCATCAATG